TTCCGGAGGTCTGTTCTTAACCTGAAACTGTTCTTAACCTGAAGCACCACTTTAGCTAATGGGGCCTCCTGCTGCCGCCGCGCCGCCGGAGCACGATTTCTGTTCTCATCCTGAAGCAAAGTTATTAACCTGAGGCAATATTTCTGGGTTAGCGGAGTCTGTAACCTGAAGCGTATGTAACCCAAGGTACCACTGTATCACAAATTACTATCTATTTTTTAAAAAAACAATATTTTATATAAAGCTGAGTAATATTACTAGTGAAATATCCAGTAAGATAGAAAAAACAGCGGGTGGGAAGGAGGAATGCAAATACAGTTTTGCTTATGTACTGGAATATTGCTTCTTGTTTCAAGCATATGCAAATATAAAATAGAATCAAGCCAACCACATAGAAACAGTTCCTAAGGCAATTGTTATCCAAGCTGAATTGTTACACACAGTAGTGAAAGTATTGAATCAGGCAAAGTGGTACATGCAGTATTCAATCATGCAGGCTTGCTAAGAAGTAAACGGCAGCAGCAGCAGCAACAACAACCCTCAACATCAAGTACATATTATAAAATGTCAAGTTTCTGCGTTACCAAGCAGCTCAAGATTAATTCCTAGTGAATAATACAAAAAAGTTATTAGATACAATCTTATTAAATAAGATTAATTAATATTTTTGTGTTTTTTATGTGCATGTCTGCAGGGGGCATTTAAATAGATTATTTGTTTTATATAAATAGGCCTCTGGTCAAATCTACCAGAGCTCTTTTTCTTTTTGAAAAAACTTTTTATTGAGTTTTATAAATGAGGATCATACGGGTAGGTAAGGGATAATAAACGGTACAAAAAATAGAAAAAGTTTTCACATGTCATTTGTATATCACAAAAACAGCACAATAATTTTGCAGCAATGTCTATGACACATGGTTCATTATTAGTAGTCAATGGTCTTGGTTTGTGAATTGGTTTAAACTAAAACAATAACAAAGGGGAAACAAGATAGAACAGAGTTAACATAACAATCGACACACATAGCCAAACACCTAACCAGGAGCCCTTGTGGTTGTTCTTAGATTAAGTAATAGTTATTTTTCCTCTTAGGTTACTATGAAACAGTGTTGGTATATTGATGAACATGGGAGGGGGGTTCAAAGTGAAGATCATAATTAAGGTTAAGATTCAAATTTAGATCTAGCAGAGCTCTTTTTATGTTTGTACGTATTTAAGGGGGAAAGGGATTTTTTGCCCCCCAAAAAGCCCACATACCCACCAGAAAATGTGTTCTAAAGGATTGGAAGCTCCTCCAGAACAGTGCAAGAGTCTGTAGGGGAAGGGGAGATTGACAGAAATTGCATCCCCTTCTGCTTCAATGTGCAGGAGTGTTTGCTGGTTCATATCCCCTTCCAGTTGTAGAAGCGTTACTCTGGATTTAAACCAGTGTAACTTATTGCGAATGTATTTTGAAATGCCCTTGGACTGTGACTGAGAAATGGTTTATGAATGGATTTAAATCTTCGTCATGCAAACCTATCCAACCATAACTCAATGCACAGCTGTAAAAACACAGCATTAAGGTTAATGGAAAATAAAGCTGCAGCTTCCAGCTGCCTGGAGAATGGGCACCACTGGGATGACTGCTACTGCTATGAAATTTGTGGCAAAAAGTGAAGCCAGCAAAGGTGCCATCACAACCAGAAACCTTAGAGCCAACCAGAAACCTTTCAACTTACCGTAGTTATAACTGTGACAGCAGAAAGTGAGAGGATGGAGCCACTATATGATACAGAATATAGGTAAAACATTATCATATCCTCACCTAGTTCTCTACTTATTTATGCATATTCTGTGTTGAGCAATAGTTTTGCTTAATACCAGTTGATATCATCCTACAATGGTAGTTGTTGGTGACAAGTCTTAGTTTAGTTGTACTAATCCAAACAGTCTTGGTAGGTTGTCACAGGTTTTTATGTTGTATTGGTGTCAAACTGAATACTTATCTGAACACTGGAATTCTTCATCCCATAAGTCCCATAGAAATGGGGTTCTTACATAATTTATTTTGATTCAGTTGTGAAAGAATTCTTGAACAAATAGAAAAGGTTATCTAAAGTTCTGAACACTGTTAAAAGATTTTTGGTTCATTGCCTGCAATTATTTTGTTGGAGTAAGTTTTCTGACATGAGGTTTTTGTTCATGTGGTTTATCCTACCTGCCCCTTTGGGCCTGCTTGCAAGAGCAATTATTATGAGTGTAATGGGATGGCATTATGCCTCTGGAACCATGGAAGTTGCAGACTTGATGAAGCCTGATGACATATCCAGGCTATCCAGTGCATTTCAACCTAGTAAATTATTCACTTGAATAGCAAGCACATCGGCAGTGGGACTGACTATGAGGCTCTTGACTATGAGTGCATGAAGGTAATAACAAGATGGGTATCATTTTAGTGTGAAACTACCACAAAGCATGGGGGCATAGGAGAGAACCCTCATCCAGCAGGCAGGATTCAACTAACAAGCCTTCTCAGAGGAAGCCCATGCAAAGACTTCTGCTAGTATAAGCACGGTGGAGAGTTTGGGAGAACCCCTAAAACAGCATATGGGAGGGAGGAGAGGGCAAATCGTTCCATCAGGCAAGCAGAAATGTGCTGATAGAGCTATGTGCTTAGCACTACACTGAATTTCTCCTATAGAAAGACAGACAGAAATTTGTTGTTTGCACATGCCTCTATTGGTTCCATGAAGAAAGAAAGACAGGATAGAATTGTAAAAAAGAAATTAAAAATTATGATATTTGTAAACAACAAATTACTGTGTGTGTGTGGAGGGAGGGAGAGAGAAAGAGAAAGAGAAAGGGAGAAAGAGAATGAAAGCCTTGAGTTATGAATGAATCCTATGCCCAAACAACATACAAGGTATATTTCACATGCAATGGAAATCTGCCTAAAATATGTATAAAATGTATGCAAATTTGATATTATCGTTAGCATCCATTAGAATAGATTACTCGTATCAATGAACTGAATGCTTGTTTATTTTTCTTCAGATAGTTTGCATAAACAGCAATAACCTCTACAAGATGGTACCGCTTAACTGCTTTTTGTAAACAAACTAGTCTCTCACAGTGTTCATACCTGTAGGGATTATGTGAGTATTCTCATCTGTGGCAAAATAGAAGCATTCATCAACTAGCACCCCACATGGGTACATTATATTGAATGGCTGTAGTTTCTCTTATGCTCATTAGGGGCTATTGTTTGATATATTGTGGAAAGTTGCTAGAAGTGAGAGGCGGATAAATGCCATTTGATGAATTCTTCAAGCAGATTTGAGGAAGGTTAATTTAGGTTCAGAAAGAAGCATTTAGGTATTTTATAGTTTTTTAAAAATAATTCAGTTAAAGTCGGAGATGTAAAACAGGATGAGCTGACTTTTTGTGTATGTGAAATATTATTGTGACATCTGGGATGTATTGCCAGAGTGTGGGTGTATTGGGGGGACAGAAAATTGGCGTTTTCTTCAATTTTCAGCATTTCTCTCTCCCTCTCTCTCTCTCTCTCTCTCTCTCTCTCACACACACACACACACACACACACACACACACATCTCTACATGCATTCTCTGTATCTTTTTAGTCTTAAATCTGGCATGGAATGTGGTATCCTAGGAACCTCAGCTTTCATTTGAGGGTGGGGGAGAGGGGAGGACAATAGCCATGCTTTCCTGCTCTTATGGTTTTTCAGAAAACTTGCATTCGTTTGAGCCACATCTGCAGATGGCTAAAAACAAACAGTTAAGTTTGACAGTGACCTGCAAGTATATTTCAGGAGCCTAAACAGTTTGTGATTTTTTTCCCTATGATTTTTTTTTCATTTTCTTATATTCTTAACAGATGAAAGGATAAATCCCTGCTGGGATTCTATAGTTTTGCCTCTCTGTTCTTTGTGGTCATAGCAAACTTGGATTTTGAAGAAAATATATTTGAATACTTATTCCACACATGGTTATAGCACTGACATGTGAAGGGATATTTAGAGAACAAAACAGATGCCAGTTTTGCCAACAACCTTGCCTGCAAGCACATCTGTGTGTGCCATTTCAGGAAAGGGGGGCATGAGTGTGCATATCCTTCATCTTCACCAACTCCACTTATCCCACTATCACTCTGAGCAGAAGGAGTTTACTAGATAGGAAGTGTGCACATACCTCATCTTCTGCAATGGCCTGGCATAGTATGAGAGAAGGGAGTAATTTTGTGAACCCCAAATATATGGAAACTAGAACTACCTGGGAAAGGATTGTGTCACATGTCTAAATAAAATCAAGAAATTTTATTGAGCCCTTGGGTGAAATTCAAATGCACAAGGGAGAACCTGTCTGTTTGCATAAATCTACGTAACTTGGTGGATCAAGCTGCAAGGGGAAACAAGTGGTATTTGGGATTGAACCAAGAAAATGGTGTATAAGAAGATTAAACCAATCCCAGTGCCATTGCCCTGATCCAAACTGCCCACTCCACTGATACAATCAATAATATTGCCAGTATTTTTCTTTTCAGGAGATGTAATCACATAACTCCTTCTGTCACATCCAATAATCTTCCCTGCTCCCAAGTAAAATCTCAAATCACTTTACACTTGGGTGTTTGAGTCATTTAATCGTTTTAGTTGTTCTTATCTATACTTTCCATGAGATGTGTAAACTATTGTTTTCCAAATATGTCAAGAGCAAGAAGTTCTATTTGGATACTTTGGAGAGCAATGAGGAATGGGTGTTTAAACCTCTCTTGCCTAACCATTTTCCTAGTCTAAAGTGTGCTGCCATTACTTTCACAGGGGGAAACATACCTTATGTTTTTCCCTGCATAGTTAAAGGTAGCTTCAGCAGCTTTGGTGAGTGAGAAAGCACAATTTAAATGATGGAAATGGTGTTGGAAAAGCACCTACTTTCACAGCATAATTTTCTGCTCTTCAAAGTAGCAGCAAAAATCCTCATCACGGATCTCTGGCTGCTGGAAAAGTTCAGCTGGTGGAACATGAGACTCTTGATCACAGGGTTGTGGGTCTGAATCCCACCTTGGGCAAAAGATTCCAGCATTGGGGGGATGACCATCATGGTCCTTTCCAACTTTACAGTTCTAAGATTCTATGTCTAGCTTGGCCCTAAATAAGCTTTTTGTTAATGAAACAACATACTGACTTTATATGTTCAGTTAGTTATCTAGCACAGGTCTAACATCTGACTTCCATTAGCATATATATTTTATGGGAATAAAAAGTGATGGGCTTTACATTTTGCATTTATTTACTTTAAATCACAGCTGATATTGAACCCAGTCCTGCAGGGGTACCAACTTGAATAAAATATTGGGGGAGCCGGTAAACCCCACTCTGCATAATCAGTCACATGATATGGTGTGCACACACTATTTTAATGGCAATGCCCATCTACTGGGGTAGCAGCTCCCTCAAATTGGGAGAGCAAAGGGAATTGGCTCCTACAAAGCCCTGGGAAATACTCCTTTGAGGAAGTCAACTGTTCTGCTTGCAATTTCACCTTTCTGAATAATATCACCAACTAGGCAGGTTATTTCAGTGTGAATACTATTTTTCCTCCCTTTTACTATCTAATACAGAAGAAAGCAATAGCAGTAATGCTGTTTTTATGTTTATACAGTGGTACCTCGGGTTAAGAACTTAATTCGTTCCGGAGGCCCGTTCTTAACCTGAAACTGTTCTTAACCTGAGGTACTACTTTAGCTAATGGGGCCTCTCACTGCCACCGCTGCCATGCGATTTCTGTTCTCATCCTGAAGCAAAGTTCTTAACCTGAGGTACTATTTCTGGGTTAGCGGAGTCTATAACCTGAAGCGTCTGTAACCCAAGGTACCATTGTATATGGATTTACCAGCAAAATAGTAACTGGAATCAAGTTGTGAGTGTTTACTGATCTGCAGAAGCTGAAAGTTATATGCATGTTATACATAGGAAGCTGCCTTATACCAAGTCAGACAATTGTTCTATCTTATCTGACACTCACCAGCCGTGGTTCTCCAGGGATTCAAGCAGGAGTCCCTCCTCCAGCCCAACCAGAGATTGAAGCTTGGACCTTTTGCAAATGCTGTACAGCCCTTCACATTGCATTGAGACACCTGTGTCCGAATGCTGCCACAGCTAGGCATTAGTCACTACATGGCCTAGGCAAAAGTGATAGCTGCTTAGCTTGAAAAATGGAAGTGTGACCAACATAGCAATGCAAGGACAGTAGTGAGTAAGATGAGATTCTAGCAGGACAGGCTGCAAACCCAATTAAATTAATTACAAGGAACAAAAGTAGTAATATTTTATTCAATACAGAACTCTGTAAAATTTCAAAAAGCCACATGAATCTGTCCACCACATAAGCATTAAGTACTGACTGAAATAACCCAATCACCCTCTCCCAAACAAGTTTAATTAATTAATCGATTTTACTCAGAACATTAAAAGACTTCTCACAACAAAGCTGCAACTTACTAATTAAGTTTAGTGTTTCAGAAAACAATGCCATGTAATCTGAGATGGAGGGCCACACTTAAAAATCTAACTTGGGCATTACCTTTTTGTGAATAATTCAGAAAAGAAACTAAATAGGTAGTCAGTGCAAGATCTTCTACTGAGAAAATTGACATTATAAAACATAATGAATATGTAATAAATGTTATAGAGAGAGAGACAGAGAGATATAAATCTTGTCCAATAGTTTTCACAAAGGCAATGGGGGGAAAATCTTATTGCAAGTTGTAATATGTTTTGTGAAACACATTCATTGTACTTGTCATTATTAGCAATACATGGCTTAGAGCAGATGTGCCTATGTCAATCTCCAATAAGTTCTGCTTAGCTCCCCTCTTCCTCCCACTTTCTCAAACTCTGCAATGCCTTTCGAGGTAGTGTCATGGGTTAATGAAAAGAAGTGGGAGGGGTGCATGGAGAACTCGCAGGAAAATTGACAGCTAATGAAACAGTTTCTGTGATTCGTGAGCTACTGTAAGATACAGCTGCTTACTGTAATGAAACCTAAGATATGTGAATACTGAAAGGATATATCTGTAAACAGACATTCCCATCTTGACCACACTTTACAGTTCAGAAGCAAATTGCTCCTTTCCACCTTAAAAATGGTAGAGACATCTTAGTGCTCCAGGCAGTAAGATTTACTAATATAAACATGAAGCATCCCAGAAAAGGGGGGGAGGGGAGAGAGAGAGAGAGATAAATATGTATGTTAGAAGTCATGATTTGAAGTACAGTTTTGACAACTGAGTACTTTGTAATTGCTTTGTTTAGTAAAAAAAAAAAAAAAATACCACTACAGTATCATGGCAGTGAATACTTTTGCAAGTGTTAACCGGGAGCAAAGGACAAGCAGCAATGATGAAAACCCCAAACGGAGCTCTAGAGAATCAATAACATTTTCCTTCTGTTTCTTGTTGTGGGTATTGGCCTGGCACAAGTTTCTGCATCTCACTCCCAAATCTCTCTCTACACACACCAGTTTATTTCACTCCTTTCATCCCTGCTTCTGGCAACAGAGTAACTGACAAGCAGAGAGAATTTCACAGATTCCTTGTGTCTATACTGAGCGCACAGCACCATCTCTGGTAACACCAGCCAGCCTTTTCTCCTCTCTAGAATGCCACTATTAACCAGTGACCTGATAGCTGGCAGCCTCTTCTCAGGGCCATTAATTGATGTAAACACAACGCATCTATAAAAAGCCTGCACATTTTCTATTTGCTGTCTTTGTTTAGTGCAACTTGCGGAGAAAAAGAATCCCACAACCAAAGACAGAAAAACCAAGGGAGAACAGCAAACATTCTTTAGGATGACAACAGAAGGCTCTGAATATGATGGTCTGCATTCTTCCTCATCTCCCTGAATTTCCTAGTGCTGTGCCTTCTCCTCCCCTCTGCACCTGTACAGCCATATCATATCTCTCTTGCACACACCTATTACTTCATCCGATAGTCTTTTCCAAAGAGGAGCACAACACTGGACTCTTGTCTTCAGACCTCTGCATCTTTTCCCTTCTCACCATCGAAGCCAAAAGCCTTCTGTTTCCCTTTGACTGCCCCCTCCCCTCCCCCACCAAATCTTCTCTGCCCCATAAAGGTCAGTGGGTTGTACTGTTATTAGATGCATCTAAAAGCAGGGCTCCCTTTAGGACTTTGCCTGCCCAAGAGGGAGATGCACGCAGGTTCCCTTCCTCCCCTCTCAGGCCATGGCTCCCTTTCCCACCCCACCCACTTCACCTCCTTCCCCAGCCATTGCCCGCCAATCTCCCCCCCCCCCCACATCACTTGCAGCCTGGCTGAAAGGATCCTTTCCGCACGCATAAGCAACAGTCTCCGCCAAGTGGGAAAGTCTTCTTTTCCAGGGGAAGAGGCGGCAGCAGCAGAAGCAACAGCACCTGGCCCCATATTGTGCCTTCCTGGACGCTGATGCTCGCGCGCCAAAGCGGACTCTCATCTCTGTTTCTTCTTCCTCCCCCCAATTATTTGCCACAACTTGGGCTGCCATGCTAGTCCTCAATGGGCAGGAAATGGTGGACGAAAGCCGCCCCCCACACAGGAAAGCACACACACACACCCCACACCCCCGCCCGGGCTGAGGCGGCGGAGTTGCTGCCAAGTCCTACCTGGTCTTGCTGGGCAGCCTGGCTCCCCCGGCTGCCCGGGTTCGGCGGCGCCTGCTGCTGCTCCTTCATGGCTGTCATGGTCAGGGAGGAGTGGAGGGGGGGAGACACACGCGGGCACTTCCTCTCACTGGTCCTGTAGTCCGAGAGCCGCTTCCCCCGGCCCCGCTGGCATGACAAAAGCTGCCCGCTCTCTTCCCTCGGCGCGAGCGAAGCAGCAGATGACGCGGAAGATGAAGGAGGAGAAGAAGAAGAAAGAAAGCCGGCGGAGGGACGCGGCGGCGGAAAAACCCCCACCGGGCAGCGCGGGAAGCAGCCGCCTGCTTCGTCCTCCTCCGGCTACCGCAATTCCAACCCCCTCAAGCCCAAGCCGAACTGAGGGAACCGAGAGAGAAAAAGCGCGCCCCCCAAAAGAGGACCGGAGCGGCCAGCTCCAAAGCCAGGGCGCGGGGGCGGGGGGCGCGGCTTGGCTAATGAGCGCGCGACAGCCCCAAAGCGGCAGCCACCTGGGACGCGGGTTGGCTCCCCTCACCGGCACGGTCGGGCATTCCTACAGTGTGCCCCCCCCCTCAAAAGCAGCAGCAGCAGCAGGAGGAGGAGGTCCAGTGGCAGCGGCGAGTGGCTGTGGCACCGGTGGTCCCAGAGTCCGAAGTGCTTCCCTAAGGGCAGGTGGAAGAAGGGATGAGAACAGCAGCCCAGGGCGCGCGCGCGCTCGCCTTCTCCCCCGCTCGCCCTCTCTGTCCCTCGCAGCAGCAGCAGCAGCTGGATCCCGCAGCCCGGCGCCACAGCGAGAACGCAGGGGGAAAGGAGCACAGCGCGGCTCCCTCAGACGGCACATTCGCTTTCCCTCCTCAGCTGGAGCGGACCATTCGGAATCCCGGGCATAGGGGACGCTGCTGCTGCTGCTGCCTACCTGGCTGCTGTAGAGCGCGCCTCTTTCCCCTACCCCTCCGCCTTTCTCACTTCCCGGTTTTTGCACGACTTCTGAAGAAGAATGCCGCCTCCAATCGCGCGGCTGAATCCGTCACCTTGGGGTAGCAGGCAGGGCAGGGCAGGGCGTTCGCTCCAAGGGTGGATCGAGCGCTTTGATGGGGAACGAAAGGAAAAGGTGGGGAAGAGGAGCAGGCGGGAGAGGAGAGAGGGGAGATTTGCCTTGAGCATCAACTGTTAAATTATTATGCTTTGGCGTGTGACTTCTGCGGACACGCACAAACGCACGCGCTCGTGCAAACTGGCTAAGTTACAAATCAACCCCTTGATCTCCTTTCTGAAATGAAACATTCCAAGCAGGGGGACTCATCGGCAATCCGGTAGCCTTTCTGAGAAAGGGAAAGGTTTTGTTTCCGACTGCCATCCATTTATACAGAATTGCACAGTGCCAACGGCATTGCTGGCTCTTTATGCTTTTTCTCATCTGATGTCGATAGAAATATTGTTTTGCAAGGTGGAATAGTTTTTGCACAGAGAAAGAGGGGTGGTGGGGTCCAACGTTTACAATACAAGTAGAAAACAGGGTGGTAGTCAACTAAGCTTTACTCAGAGTAGACCCATTAAAATGAATGACCATGACTAAGTGAGATCCATTAATATCAACACCTGACCTTCTCTGAGTCCAGAGTTTCTTTCAAATAAATAGACTATGATTCTGTGTCCACGTATGTCTCCACTTTGGGGGGGGGGAGCAACAGAGACTCTGCTGATGTGCATGAGTTAATTTAATCTGAAATGTGCACTATAGGGTTCAATGAAAGCAAAATCTATTTTGAGAATAAAAGTCCTATATGTTTCCTAAAGGTCATATTCATGCTTTAGAAACTCAGGTGGCCCCCAGATGTTGATGAGTTCCAACTCCCATTGGGCCCAGAAAGCACAGCCAAAGGCAGTGATAATGGGTGTTGTAGTCCAACAGCATTTGAAGAGCCTATGAAAGTGAAGCAGGTCTGATCTGGTCAGTTTTCAAACTTGCTGAATTGGCCTATTGAACCAATGATATCTGTAATCATTATTTAGCACTTGAATACTGAGCAGTTAGGCATAATCTAATCCACAGATATCCATGCAATAATGAGGAGTTTAGTCAAGCCCCAAGCCAGTATCCCAAGACCCAAGCTTATCTATGGAAAAAGTTGAGCTCAGTTTCCTAAACCCTTGTCTGACACCATCCATCTACATGTATCTTGGAAACAAAAGTTACTGAAACAATTTGTTGTTCCATACCTATATATCTCAATGAAAGAACATGTTTATTAAAAGCTGATTACTTATTTTCTGTTTCTATTTCTTATTTTTTGCCTCCCAGACTTAGAAAGATTGTCCAGCTGGGAAAATCAACATCTCTTAACTTCCCATTTCCCTGATTCTAAAATTGGATTTTTATTTTTATTTTTTTGTTTTAGTGAATCCATAGCACTAATTTTCAAGATTAATGAAACACACAGCCAAGGACTTTGTGTGCTAAATTTGCTACATATACAGTATATGACTAATAAACAGCTAGCAGGAAGTTTGCAGAATTTGTAGCTAAGGTGGTCAAGTACAGTACCACTGTACAGTGGTACCTCGGATTAAGAACTTAATTCATTCTGGAGGTCCGTTCTTAACCTGAAACTGTTCTTAACCTGAAGCACCACTTTAGCTAATGGGGCCTCCCGCTGCTGCTGCTGCTGCGGCGTCGCTGCACAATTTCTGTTCTCATCCTGAAGCAAAGTTCTTAACCCGAGGTACTATTTCTGGGTTAGCGGAGTCTGTAACCTGAAGCGTCTGTAACCTGAGGTAACACTGTATATGCATCTGGAGAGTACCCCTAAATTCCTCACTGACTGACACTTCAGGTGATTTACAAGAATTACATACTTTAGTAGTACAGTGGTACCTCAGGTTACAAACACCTTGGGTTACGAACTCCACTGAGGGGCAGGTGGCAGGCAGACTGTTTGGGCCAGCGTGGAGCCTGTGGGTGCCCAAGCCACCGCATCACTCCCAGAAGAGACGCGAGGCTCGGGTGTGCTGTAGGCCCCACGGTGAGTGCCACCCGGCATTTTGTCACCCCCTTCAGTGGTGACACCCAGGGCACACCACCCCCATCGCACCCCTTTCCTCCACCCCTATTTAGGATATTGTGGGATTGTATTTTTGTCTGTTATTATCCACAAAATAATCCCTGTCAAAATGATACAAACACCTACTTGGTCATTCTATTCTGGCTTGTTAGAGCAACATCTCCATCTTATGAAGTATATTGTTGCCTGAAAAAATCACATACCATATTAAGGTAGTTACAGTCTTCTCTCCAGCAATTTCCCGTAACCTCAACAGCCTCTCTAATGTGCACACACACAAAGGTGCTCCAGCCACAATAGTCACCTTTATAAACAGCCAAATTTTGCCCCCACAAGGAAATCCTTTGAACTACTGCATGTTAGACATTTTGCAATGCATCTGTCTGAAATGTGGCTGTCTATCATCTCCAACATGTAGATAATTCATGCAGCTTTCAGAAAGTTTGGACAGACAGTTCCCATTTTATTAATTTTTAAGACTTCAAACTTTGTAATGGTGGGATGTAGTTGGACCTGTTTAGGTTAAGTACACAGAATCAGAACAGTGTTTCAGATTATGTAAACAGACAATTGTACAAACTGGGACAACTTTAGGCTCTAAGATGCCCTCTTGGCAAAAAGAACAGCTTTGAAACAGAATCCATTTCATATATATATAAGTTGGTTTTGACTTTCTTCTAGCTTTCAAGACTATAAATGATTGATTTAAATGCTTAGTTACAGCAAAGTTATGGAATACTCCTTAGAATTTGAGTCAGATTTAATAACTAGCTAAAGGAATGAATGACACATATATATATTTGCAATGAGGAAATGTTTTATCCTCCCACCAAAAATCCATTTGTGTCAGCATGGAAAACATCTTTTATATAATGCACCTTTTTAGGATCTGAGCTAACTGACAGCTGTGGGGTGAACCAGCTTAGGGTCTTCCTAGGACAAACGGCTAAACTAGTTCACCTATGGTGTATTTATGGAATGCATGTTGTCTCTCTAGCAGACTCCAACCAGCAGTCAAGATTGCTGCAACCATTCGTGTGCTCTTAATAAGGATATAATATAGATGGGCGGTTGATTTTATCCAACTGACAATAATTTAATTCACAATTGACTCAATTATTTCATAAATGGTTTTGAATATAATATCATTTTAATAGTTCTTCTGTTATCCAACAATTATACTCTGTGGGGTGCTATAACTAAGCATGTCAGTGATGGAGAAGAAAGCAAAGGAAATTTAGCAGATCATTCATCTAAATTGATTTGTGAGTAGGCACCTGGATACTACAGATAAGCATGGTTGCGCTGTAGGCATGTGGAGTGGGAAATGGGCAAGTCTGTCTTGCTCTTGGTGACTGATATTTGGAATGCTTCCACTTACAAAGGTTTGTACCTGACATTAGGAGCAAACACAGGTGCCTTGCCTTTAGGATGCCCTGGATAAGGTCTTAATTCCTTTCCACCTACATCAGACTAATGCACCAGAGCTCCACTGAAGTGATGTGCTCAGCTCAGACACCTAACAAATCCACAAGGTTCAATATTGCTGTCATTATGCTACATGCTAAGCAACTATTCGTTAGTGCAGTGTCTGATGAGTCTGTTATTGTCTGAATTTATTTCATGCCTCTTAGAATGTCTACTTATATGCCAATATCCTATACAGATATTTCTTCCTTGTACTGTAGCTCAAGCACCATCAGACATACATTTTGGACAAGATGCCAGAATTAACTTGCTTCTGGTCAGCGAGTGCCAACATTTATCTTAGTTAACACTAGATGTAATAAGTGGCAGGGTGACACGTATCATAGCATGTATGCAGTACTGGCTAATAAGAGCAATATTCTGGGTGACTGGCCATTCTTTTTTTCTGTGATGTATTAAAATGCATGCAATACTCAGAAACAAAGAGCTAGTTCCTAGAAGGGAAGAGATACAGGGCTTTAACTTAAAAGCTCTGAAGTAGGAATGGCTGAGCTTTGGCCCTCCAAATGTTATTGAACTCCCCAGCCAGCATGTGCAATGAGGAATGATTGGAATTGTGGTACAACAAATCTGGAGGGCCAATCATTCTCCATCCCCTCTGTAAAGAACCTAGCCATGCAAGTCCTGCTTTAGAACTCTGAGAGGTGGGTGGGAAGAGACTCTAGGCATCAAGATTAAAGAGATGCTTAGCACTGGAGATGGAGGGATCTGTCAGTTTTGGTTAATTCAGTTTCTCATTTTTCTGATCTTTAATTCAATTCTCCACATTACTGCAACAATTTGTGTGTGTGTGTGTGTGTGTGCGTGTGTGTGTGTGTTTTAAATATTCATCATGAAAATTCATCAGCAGCTTAGTGTGTTTTCTCCTAATAATCACATTTCCGTATGCAGTCTTGATTACCTGAAGGAGCGTCTCCACCCCTATCATTCTGCCCGGACACTGAGGTCCAGTGCCGAGGGCTTTCTGGCGGTTCCCTCACTGCTTGAAGTGAAGTTACAGGGAACCAGGCAGAGGGCCTGCTCCGTAGTGGCACCCGCCCTGTGGGACGCCCTCCCATCAGATGTCAAGGAAATAAGGAGCTATCCTATTTTTAAAAAACATCTGAAGGCAGCCCTGTTTAGGGAAGTTTTTAATATTTAATGCTGTATTGTTTTTAACACTCGATTGGGAGCCACCCAGAGTGGCTGGGGAAACTCAGCCATATGGGAGGAGTATAAATAATATATTATTATTATTATTATTATTATTATTATTATTATTATTATTACATACTTTTGCAAGTAATTTCCCTAATGCATTTGTGTATGTTACTTTCAATAATATGTTCATATTTATGTAC